TTGATGAAGGCTGATCCAAAAGACACCTTTTCTCCTTTGGTGAAGCTGAAGGCAAATAAATGTCATGAGAGTAATTTAGAGAATATAAAACATGAGAGATGGAGGAACTTTATTACGTATTCCTAAAGCTTGCAAAAATAACATCTTTCTATGTTTAGCAGCATCTACTAAATTGTAATGATGTTTAACTATAGACGATATTACTGAAATAGAGATGAAGATGCTACTAATTCTGTTGTATTGTTCTAAAAAGCAGAAAAGAAGTTTATCCTCCTCCTACTGGTTATAATCAGGTTTTAGAACAGTATCTGCCTCAGTACACCTGCGTTCTCTTCTAATTCCTCTACCTTGTCTTTCCTGGTGCCTCTTTCCTTGAGATGTAACAGTTCAGATGCAGTTAGAAATATGTCACCTGTACTGCTATACCTTTGACTGAATTATATTTCTGTATTGTTTATGAACTTGCTATGTGCTTGCAGTCATTATTAATAAATCAATGTGCTTTTTGTCTTCTGTCACAAAGTAATGTGTGTATTCAGAAAGAATTGTATGCAAAACAAGTCATGTTTTAGAACCCATCAGTAATAATTATCAGTTTGCAGTATTGTTACAACATGTTTTGAGGGAAAGCTTATTATAAAAGAAAGAACAAGGCACTGCACAGTAGCAAGAATAAGACAGTTCAGTTGATCACTGGTGTAGGTGTTATAAATATGCCAGTCTGTACTATAGTGTTTTATTAAGTCTCAAAAAGTCAAAGCTGATTTGAAATAATAATGTCTGACAGTCAGTGCTTTGAAGTTTTGCTGCTGCACTCTCACATTTAGGCTTTTATGTGTGACTTTATCATAAAAAAAAAAAATACACACAAGGCATGAATGCTTTTCTTTATTTTTTTTTTAAATCTGTATTTCAAAGAAAGTAATAGGAGCTACTTCAGTGAATTAAGAGGCTTAAAACAAAAGGAACAATCAATGAGGATATGTGCAGGCCACTATAAGGTCATACAGTATTCATGTAAGCTATAGCTGGGGTTGGTAACTTGTTGAAGACTTAATAAGTGAAATTAAAAAAGAAAAAAAAAGGAAAGAAAAAAGGGAGAATAAGGAAGAGACGAGGCAAAAGCTATCCTTGAGAGGAACAAGATGACTTTCATTCAGTCGGAAGAGTTTGAGAGCATGGTTGTGATAGCTAATACACTCGTTCTTCATCACCATCGTGCAACAAAGAGCTGGATTCCATCCATTCCATGACTGATTGATTACCCAATGGACAAATGTTAATTGTTTTCATCAATGCTTTGTCATTGTGGAGAGATCCTTTTCGTCTAACACCTAGGCTTTTTTTTTTTTTTCTCAGTTGTTCTCCCCCCCCCCCGCTTATATCCCGCTTTCAATATCCTCTTCTTATTCACCTTTGCAAAACTGTCACATTTAACAAGATTCTCACAGTACTTTAAACTCTTTTAGTTTACAATTAAAATTGCTAACAAAATATGTAATAAGCCATGATATTAAATAATACTCAATGATTTAATTTAGTCATCTCAGTCTAATTACACTTAACCTGTTTGCTGCCCTTGAAAGAAAATTTTTCCTAGTTCTTAAGAGAAGAATATAAAGTATGAGGGACTGTGTGTTCTTAATATAATAAATTGATATAGTACAACTTCCTGAATTTGATCTTACATGTGTCAGTAAATAAACTACTTTGCAGCATAAGCCCAACTGTCAGTGACAAGAGCTTAAAATGTACAAATGCTAATTTTTTTTTTTTTTCTTTTATAATTGTCTTTAACAAGAATCTGTGAATTTTGAAAATGTTGGGATCCGCAAGGTTTTGGCATGGTGCTGAAGCAGAGCCTCAGTGCAGGAGAGTGATGCAGTGCAGATGTGAATTTGGGCTTCTTCAATGTGCAGGGCTGGATTCTGAGTTGATGTTTTGTTTCTATAATGAATCAAAGCAGATAATGAATCAATATGGATTAAGCTGTTTTACTGATATCAGAAGATATCTTTCTAGATTTTATTTGTATGTAAAAATTAAATTCCAGTATGGAAAATAGAAAAAAAATAGAAAAAAAATCCTTTTCTGATTCACAAATCTTTTAAAACTGTGTGCCTGTGAGTACAGAATACAAAACTTGAAGGGAGATATTCCTTTCAAGTCTAAGCCTTTATATTTAGTTTTGTGTCTAATGTGGAAGACCTCAGAGAGTGTTAGCACATATCATTATTTTAAATTCTAAAAATTATGCAGATTTAACTTGCTAATAGAAAATTTACAGCAATTTCAAAAGAGCTATTTCTACAATGTTATAAAAGTTTATTAAAAGGCTCTGTGTGTTTTGGTAATCTTCCCAATAACAAAATATAGTAGCTCTAAATCATGCAGTCATATCTATAACATGAACTTCGTCTGGGGGAGGAATATTTAAAGAAATGTTTCTTATGGATTTTTTTCAGTCATTTATAGAGATAACAATTGTAACTAGCAATGTGATCATAGCAAAAAGGTGTCACACAGATAGACCTGTTTTCCATTCCAGTTCTTTGGTAGTCTGTCTTTAGAAGCGTGTTTTTTCCCCTTATGTGATATAAGAATAGTACAGATAAATATGTGTGTTCTTAAGAACAGTAAGAGAAGAAAAGCAACTGCTTTTGAGGAAGGTATTTTATCAATTCCAGTGATATGCTAATTGTTTCTTTTTTTAAAAAAGAGTATTTTTCCTTCTTTGTACAAATTGAGGAAAATACCTTTTTTAAAAGCAGCAGAAAACACAACTTACAGCAACCATCAAAATAAAACTCTAAATCTTTTTTTTCAGGGATGAGGGGTCTGAAATTTTGGCAGGGGAGAAGCACAGAAGCATCTTTTTAAACTAATGATGATATCACAAAAAAGACAAATTATAATGTTCTATTGATAATTGATGGTTATTTCTTGATTCTTCTATTATCAGGCCAGAACTCATAAAAGTAATAAATGCCTGTTATTGTTAAAAGTAAATTGTTATTATATAACAAATATTTTAACACTGCCTACTGCAACTTACAGCTCCTTAATTTTGTCTCTTTCATAGAAATATATAATTAGTAAATAAGTTAGCTTTTCTACTGAAATATTACTTCAAAAACATTTACAAGCTGTGTTGTCTTTCCACGGAGGCTTGCCACAGTGAAAATGTATTGCAATTAAAACCTGATCTTTGATCTTTTGGTAGTTACAGTTTGGTTTACTTTCAACTGGTTTTAGGTCTCTTTCCTCAGTTGTTTGTTTGTTTGTTTTATATGAGTGATGCTAATGTGAATTTTGAGGCTGAAAATACTTGAACCCTAAAATATGGTTTGCCATATGACCTTTTTCTTCCCTGCACTTCTTCCTAAGACTTTAAATCCTCTTTTTGTGACCTCTTTGAATGCTTCTCCTCCCTCTGAGCATTTTTGGAATCCTCTGAGGTGAAACAAACTATTAGCCATTGCATCGATATGATCTGTGTTGCCATCATTAATCTGGGTTTTTTACTTTTGTTTTCACTTGTGTGAGTACTTCTGCTGGGGTGCTGACATGAGAATTTGAGCCACAATTTGGCCTTAATCTGCCAGTAATTAAGCAGCAGATATGTTAGGCTGAATTCTGTCTTCTTGTACCTGCTAGTGTTAATCTGTTACTGGAGTGGCATTGGTATAAATGTTTAAATTTGGAACTTTATTAGTTATTTACAAAGCATTGTGTAAATTGATCTCCTTACACAAACAGCAGCTTGCTATGAGAGTTTCTAACAAGCAAAGGTATATGGCTATTCCCAGTGTATTCACTAAGAAAGAAGGTGCTTACCACCACCCGTGGTGGTATGTGGCCTTATAATGGGAGGCTTTTTGCTAAGATTCATTTAAGGGATAGGGTTGCCTTTAAATGTTTTTGGCATCTTGCTAAACTGTCCCTAAGGGTTTTCAAGCAGTTTAGCATAGGGGCTTTTGATGAGTCTGTCTACTAATAAAAGTAAATGCACAGTGTTTAATTGAGATTCTATTATTACTAACTAGGAAGGAAAAATAAGTGTTCAATTTTGTGTAAAGTTTTCTTGATAATTGTTTATAAATCTCAATTGCAGTTCTTAAATTCATAGAAATCTGGATCACAACTTCAGCCATAAGGATTTCCATCTTAAAAATAAACTTTTATGAGTTATCTGGAAGGTTATGTATAATTTTGACTTCAGAGCCAATTAGTTTAATTGAGGATACAAAAAAAAAAAAAAAAAGATTTTATTGAAATATGCTCAGTATCAAATTTTCTGGTGGAATTGGGGTCTGATCATAGGAAACTCACTGAGGCCAATCTTCTGCTTTCCCCTAAATGTAATGATTTCAGCGAGTTTTGCCTACAGAAGGCCTCCCACATTTGGGCAAAGATTTGAAATATATTCTGAACTTCATGTTATGAAAGCCCATCTTCTAATCATTGCATGTGGTTTATAGTGAACTGAGAAAATTTCTGATACTGTGAACATCCAATATGTAAAGTGCTTTTATGAATTCCATGGAGACATTATATGAATAACTTTTGCATTGACATGGGTATAAAAATGGTTTCAGATGTCACTGCCAAATTTCCAAAAAAAGCCTCTAGATCTTCATGTATAATTTTGAGTGTACAATCATTCTCAAATGAAAAAGACAGAATTTGTATATACATTGGCAATCTATGCGTGTAAATTGGCAGTTAGCATGCATAAATCCCAAATGAAGTTTTTCTTTCAATTAGACTCTTGTTAAATCCATAGTAACTCCATTAACCTCAGTGGAATTACTTTGGATTTAGAATCCAGTTAAATGAGAAGTCTGTTTGGCTACAAGTTCATTTCCCTCTGAAAACATGGTCTAACTATAACAGGGCGAACAGTTTTAAAATGAAGGTAGCAACTGTTTTCCTGATGTGTGAGAATATATTTGATTATTTGATAATTCTTCTTTTCCTTTATTATTTTTTGTTAATAGATTCATCCTGCATGGAAAAGCTACTCTCTAAAGACTGGAAGGAGAAGATGGAAAAATTAAACACAAGTGATCTCCTTGGTGAAATTAAAGGTACCTCGCTAGATCAAATTTTAAATGTTTGCATATATTTTAAATAAGGGATTGAGAATTCTTTAAGGTTAGTTCAGAATAAGTAGTAGAAATAGCAATCATAACTAGGGGCGTGTTGCTCCTTTCTGTCAACTCACCCTGTTTTTTAATGTTTGTCTTTGAGATGATCGATGTGACTGCCAAATAAATAGAGTATATCACAGTGAGTTATAGGCAGTATCAGAAACACCAGGTTAGTTATATTAGTTCATTGATATTATCTGTATCTCTGTGACCAGAAGAAAAAACATCTTGAAAACATGGAGTTACTCATACTTGGTACTGTTTCTTCCCAGTTGCATAAAATTTATCTAGAAACTACTTTCAGATTATAGAAGGGGTAACTGTGATTACTGTTCTAAATCTTTGATTCAAAATTGTGTGTGTGTGTGTGTGGGGGAACCAAACTGAAAAAAAAAGGGAATATATTTCTATCTTCCTGCAATTCCTGTGGAGAAAGAGCAGCTCTGGATGAAATCTGGGTTCTACAGAAATCAGTGCAAGGTTTATTGTACATATAGGCAGTACTTTCCAGCATTTCCAGGATTTGTTAAACCAGTGACATAGTGAAAGTGGAATTATCTTGACAGTTAAGTACTATGTAGAAAATTTGAATTGTTTTTCCCTACCAATCGATTCTTCCATGGATTTTTTTATTGAGAAGAAATTTAGAGTTATTAATTAAGGAACAAATTAAAAATGTGGCATTTTATGCTGTGAGAACGGATCATAAGGCATAATTTTATTAAATTGCAACTAAAAATATATGTAAACAAAGAATCACGTGCATCATATTAATAAATATTTACTAGTTTAGAAAAATGTATATACTATTAGATGAAAATTGATGCTTAGGATTTGATGTGTCCATGAAGGACACATAAGATAGTTAAATTTTGCTGTTATGCAAACAGGTGAAAATTGGCTCTTTTTAATAAGCTATAATTGGTTCTGTCTGATAATTCAGGACCAAAATATGTTGGATTCTCTGTTTAAATTTTTTGGGTATAATTATGAGAAGTGTATATTTGCCAGGTAGGAGATCCTGTAGTAAGGTCAGTGCTAGAAATACAATATGCAGTTTTACAGGAACATAAAATCCAACAAAATTATTTCTAGAAATCACATTCTATTTAAAGCCATATTGTCTCCTAATAGTGTGAAAATCATTGAATGCTAGTTTGTCCATTAATTGTACAATATAGCTACTTAGACTTTAAATAGAAACTACTTGAATACTATTAGTGAATCAAAATTAAAAGAGGTAGGAATCTCTAACAATGCAGAATAATGTTCTTTATTCTTTCATATGGCACAAAAAGCTTTCATTTATTAAAAAAACCAACAAAATAAAACAAAACCCAACCAACAAACAAACAAAACAGAAACGAGTTTGTTTTTCTGGACTTATGTTGTTCCTTCCATTTTCTTAGGATATATATTCGCTGAAGAGTTAATGGGTAGAACTCTTTTCTCCTAACTTTTTCTCATCTAGTTACAAAGTATTCTCAAATTTGGGGGAGCTTGCAACTTGTTTTACTTGTTAACCTGTGTAAGGATCATCTGGTCAGGCTCCCAGATTTATGTATTGAGGATCATTTAGTTTCCACAACTTCCTCATCCCTAGAAACCCGTCCTTAAGGGACCTTAGGTCTGCAGTATTCCACTCTGCTACTAGTTGACTTCCAGCAAAATGCAATACTGAATCTTTGCTATTGCAGCTGCATTTAATATTTGCTGTGAACAGGCAAAAATACAAAAAGGCAAACACAAAAAATACAAGATAAAACATATTTGCTGTTCTGTTGTGCTTTGCACAGGCTTTCCATAGCAGAAGTAGTCTGAATTAGGACTCCTTTCCTTTGGTCTCCCAAGCCAGTGGCTAAGCCACTGTCTCCACCTGGTTATCTCCTAGCTGATAAAATCATTATCAACCTAATAACCTGGTATTAACTCATATTAACATTTGTGTGCCTTAAATCTTCTCAGAGAAAAAGAAAAAAAAAACCCAACACCATAGCCCTTGGCAGCATGAAAACTCGATTACAAGAAGGAAATAAAGCAAAGTAGGGAAAACAGCGAGAATTTTTAATCTGTCAAGGAAGCATACTTAAAAAAAGAAAAAAAAAAAATCTTTTTAGTATTCAAGGTGGTAGATTTCCAAATCATGAAGTTCATTTTCATAGTGATAAATGAATTTCCAGTCAGGTAACTGCCAGGGCATGCGGAGGTCTCTGAAAGAATTATTTTTTAAAATGTGTTATCTTTTGGAGGTCAAATATTTTTTTCCTTTATTTCCATTAGATTCTAAATCAATTTGTTTATCTGGCTGATACTTTTGGCTTTTGTGCAGTCTTTCTGCTCATATTACTGAGAGCCTAACTTAAAGACGTGAAGTGATGCAGTAAAAATAAATAAATGAGGTCATTGATTATAAAACAGTGAGGTGTGGTCCTGTGAGGAGCTGCTCTTTGCACTGACTGTTACTGGGAGTTGTTTATTTTAGAGAGAAGGCATTGTTCTTGCTAAGGATAACCTGACTACGTATTCTTTCTCTCTCTGCACAACTACAACTCTCCCCTCTTCAGTGAAAGACTGGCATGTTGGTCGTGGGAAGGCAGTACACTAAGAATCAGTGCCAGAAAAAAAAGGATGAAAGCAGAAAAAAAAAAAAGTACCATTGACACAGACTGATTCTATGCATGTTTGGGAAGCACATCGTAGAAAAGAAAAGATAATTGGCTGAGAGAAACAAATAAAAATGGTATTTTCTAGCTTTACCTTCTATATTTAGAACACAATAGTGTTAATCAAGATATAATCATAAACAATATCTATTAATTTAAACAATAGAAGCCAATACAAATGTAACAAGCAGTGAATCATTTATTTTTTTCTCTAAGTGGGATTGTTCCTGTTCACAATTACTCTTGCATAGTATGCTTCATTTTTAAAACTGCTTTTTTCTGAGTTTCTTTATTAGGATTTCAGTTATTGATAATGGTCCAGATTCTTCCTTGAATTCCAGCCAAGCAAGCCATTGACTTAAGGGAGGCTGCGTGAAACTCAGAGGAGCATTTGGCAGAATGCTTTGTAGCCAAATTCCAGTGGTTAAAAAAGTCTGCTTTTTCATTTAATATGTTTATAAATGAAACATACAGGTCAAATTTTCAGAGGTCTATGAAGCAGTAGAGCTGAGTTAAATGACCTGCTCACCTGGAAAAAGAAAAAAAACACAGCTGCTTAAGCAAATCATTTGATTGTATCATGTTTGCCAGTGTATGCATACAAATACATTTATTTAAGGTGTACAAGCAATTTGTTAGGCTTATGTCTGGCTTTTGCAGTGTTGTCTTTTGTATAAAAGTTAGGGTCAGGAAATACTTTTCATTCTGGTGTTTGTTATCATGTATTTGAATAAACAAAGTGACACAGGACTCTCTTCTAAATGTCCAGATATTTGGGTACAGAGTTCTGTCCTCACCCTCCCTTGCTGCATGTATTTCTGTTCCTTAGTTATCTAGTTTTTCTTCAGCAGCCACAGCTAGGCAGACTAGCATCATTTATCACTATACAGAGTCTGTTTTAAGTTTTCTGTTTCTGCTCCAAATATAAATCTCTGGAATAGCATAGTCTTGCATGCATCAGGCAGTTGTCCTACTGAAATAGACCGCAATGGTCTTTCTCAGCATGCAGGGTCTTTGAAGATCAAATAAGAAGGGTCAGTCTTTAAGTAAATTAGGCAATGATGTTATCATGAAAGGGTCAGAATTGGTCTAGCAGTCTTACAGAAGAGTGACTCCTGGGTCACTGGCTACTGTGTTGCAGGTTATTTCTCTGGCTTCCATTGGTGGTGTTTACAACTGGAGCTATCTATATTTACAGGAATTGTGCCTTGAATGTCACATGCTGTCTTTGTACAGTATACTCTGTTTTGGGAAGCATAGCAATTGATGTCCATGGCTTTATCTGATATAGCAGGCTATTTGCGTTGTGTTTCCCATGCTTATTCAATCCCCTTTTGTATTTTCTACTTTATTAAAAAGAGTCTGAAACTCCTATTTCGTGTGATATGTTCACATTTAATGGCCTCAAAATATTTGGGTAGGTAAGAGGTAGCATTCCTGTTCCCTAGGAAATGTTAAATTTAGTAAAATGAAGAAACTCACTCACTTGATAGTCTCCTTGCAAGGTACACTATAAAAATAATGAAAAAAATTATTTGTACCCTGATATTAGAACACGGGAGAGATAGAAAGAGGTGTTTTCTGTAATAGTCTTGGAGAGAGCTCTGCATGAATGAGTCCTCGAGAAAGTTATGGTTTCTCTGTTTTTACAGTGAATTAATTTTTTTCGTAAAATATGCATGATTTACAAAACATTTCAAAATGCTATTTTTGCTTCCATTTTATAAAATATGTCTTCACAGATAAGCTTTTGGGTGTTTCTTGGTGCACTAGATCAAATGTGAAGAGCATTTTGAAGAAAATAAATCTGATGTTTTCCTGTAGCCCTGACCAACACTTTAGTTTGGATTTGCAGTAATTATTTCTCATTATAATTGCTGAAATTTCTTTCTCATGAAGTCTAAGGGTATATAATAGTCTGCCTTATAAATATGCATAAATAAATATATATAAGTCCTCTATCACGGAGGCACTCAGAGGTTTTTAATTATGTCACTTTGTATGGCTATAGACATTTCAAAGCTCTCCTTTGTGCTCTCTGTTATAAACATATTTTATTTCTTTTGAAGTCTGTGTGATATACATACTAGCAATTAAAAACCCAGCTCAGGCTTTGAGACACAAGGTCTTCTTAATTAAAACTCAAACAAAAGCTACAAGCAAACGCCCCACTGTATGATTAAGGTCTAAAGTGTTATGATACATTAGAATCATTGTTAACTGCTAGGATTTAAAAAATCAATACACAGGAAAAAGGATCAACTGGTTCCAATTAGTG